TGGGTACCTCGATTGTTGGAGTTGTTGGAGTTTTGTCTACGTGGGACTCTTGTTGTGGTAAGCGAGACCTGGGTCATTCGGAGTTGGTGATCTGGCATGTTGGGGGTGAAGAGAACGACGAACAAAAGGAAACGGACGTTGGACGTAAATGGTTTGGGAAGATTGTTGAGATGAACGCGCCCACTTATCGGGAGGGTTCATGTCATCCTTCCGTCCGTCCGAACGGAACTTTAGGTGCCGTTAATGGGGCTTGGTGGGGATGGGCGTCGTCGGAGTCGGAGGGATTTTCAGAGAAAGCGAAGCTATCTCGACGTCAATAAAAAGAAGAGTGCATCCATCTCCTTCGATCTCTGCATCCAACACCGAGTCGGGGCACGTGGTAGAGAGTATTCGCTTCAAGCTCTGCATCCAGGTTACCCATCGGACTTTGGCGGATATTCGATGTCAGCCGGTCGAGTGTAATTAACTGCAGAGCGGAGGGTTCGCCCGACTTATACCCACCACCGACGACTGTCGGTCGATACAATGTCCGCGTGTGGTTGTGACTACATTGCCAAGGTAAGTACCCAGTGGTACTGGCTATATCAACGGAAAAAGGACCGAATGGTATCTTTTCTGTAACTTTTCGATGCTCTGATTTCTACCATTCCTTCATGGATTTCTTCCACGTCTCTCATTGTGCTCTAGCAGTAACTCATTAGTTCGCGTCAATAACCACGAGGTAGGTACCGGGCTCCCTTCCGTCTGACGTAGATGGACGATGGAAGAACGCGAAAAACGCCATAATTACTCTCCGTGTCTACCCTGTGTTCTTTCAATTTAACATGGAACGGTTTATAATCGCTTAATCAGTTGCGCAGCAATATCTCCGTCCAATCGGCGGGATGCAAAAATCGGTCGCCAAGATCTGGGCGCCAGGTCGAGTGCTCCCCAACTATCCCAAGTTCGTCTCATTTAAGGTAAGGAGAATTATCCCCCTCCCCGCATAGAGATTTCGAATCACACCTCGCAAGCCCTGCACGCCAGGGATCAGCCGTCACTTATTCCGCTTACAGGTCCGTACCGGCTCCCGTAAACTCCGGGGCACCCGTTCCGCGGATGACAACCTTAATACAACGGCTATTGTTCAAGCCCCATTCTAAAGTCTTGGGATTTGGAGTCCTCCCCCTTTGGAGCCATCCCCTTCCCCTTGACTTTATCCTTCCCCCTCGTTCAGAGATAAGTCACATTGATGCTTCAACCACGCGCGCCCCTTTCCACATTCCATTCATCCCGCAGATGCCGCCAAGATTTGATCAACATCAGCAGGTTGCATTTCTAACGAGGACGGCCACCGATTCGTTCAAACGTCTTCTCTGAGACCTTGTCAACCTTGTTTCTCGTCATACCTGTATAAAGTGGAAACCCGCCTCTCCCTTTCAAGCATCTACACTATGCCATCATCCTACGGGCCCAAGCTCCGTTGATTGCCCAAACCAACATTGTACAGGTCTTGGAAATAAACTAAGGTTACCTTCCGTTTATAATATAACCCCCAGTCTCCTCCACCTTTCATCTCTTGGGACCTGCTCTGATGGGAAGTCACCCGCCGGCAGTTCGTTGCATCGCGTACTACGTGATTTGGCTTGGCGGCGCAAGAAAGGGGAGTCTGCCACCGCGGCATAGGTATGCACAGTAAAGTGACAAAAGATTGATTCCATCACATCCTCGGTCTTCGGCTACGTGCATGGAATAGATGGTTCCAGGGCGAGAGAGATCTACCATCCTTTGCAGTTGCAGGGTGATACTGTCCAAGAAAACATGTAGTCTATGCAATACACCACGGTCTGCCGGTACTTTGCTTGGACAAACATGCCGTGGAATACAGGGAGGACGGATGATGGCCAAGATCTACAACGTTGTCATTCCCCCGCTCCCGGTCTGCTAGGATGTAGGGAAGAGACCCAGTGTGATGATCCAGGTCTGGTATTAACGATCTGTAAGACAAGCTGAGTAGGCGAGTTCGGATGGAAACCGCTTCCGCGCTGCTGCTCCTGCCATGAGTTCGCCTTGTTAATGATGTAGAAAGCTGGTCCCTGCCTTCTTGGTCCCCCAGTCTTCGTCTTAAAGAGCGGGAAGGACGTCGGTTCTTCTTCCTTGATTCAGGCTCCGCTCGCTGTTCTCGTCTCTAGACTTTGCTTTATCCATACTCCCCATTTCCAGTCTGTGAAGTTGAAGTTTCGGGGCGTGCTCTTCATCCCTCTCTCCCAGGACACCAAAATCGGCCTCCGTCAGGTTGTTGTTCTGAGACGATCATTTAGCACGTAGCCCTCCTTGGTGAATACTCGCGGCTGCCCCTCGTCACGATATCAACACAATGGCACCAATCACATCCCTCGCAGCGGTTGCTGCCGCAGGTGCAGCTCTTTTCTCGACAGTCGCAGCTCAATGCGCGAACCTCACTCCCGTCGCGCAGCCCCAGCTAGCAGCTGGATACAGCTCCAAGCTCATCTTGAACGGGCTATCAAGGCCCCGCAGTCTTCAGTTTGACACTCTGGGCAACCTACTCATCGCCGAGCAAGGAGGCACGGGTGTCAAGTACGTCAAGCTCACAGATAATGGCGGAGTCAACGTCTGCGTGGCTTCTCAGAAGACCCTCATCTCAAACACAAACGTAGGAAGACAAACTGTCCCGTCTATGTCTACGTGACCAACGTAGTAACTGACTCGTTCTCGTCTAGCTCGCTCACGGCTTGGCCCTGTCTGCCGACGGCAAGACAATCTATGCGGCAACGGCGTCCGAAGTGTTTGCGTACCCTTACGACGCTGCTGCCGGTACTGTTGGGCAGGCGAGGTCCATCATCAACGGCATGACGCAGACTGGCCATCAGAGCCGCACTTTGCTGATCCCCAAGGACAAGCCGAACGTCTTGCTCGTTTCCCGCGGCTCCGCCCCGAACCTTGATCTTCCAACTGCCGAGGCTGCGTCCGGCCGCAGCCAAATCCGTGCCTTTGATCTCACAAAATTAACGGGCAGCGCTGTGAACTACACAACGGGGGAACTCTTTGGATGGGGACTGCGAAACAGTGTCGGTGTTGGAGAGAACCCTTCGGACGGAGGCATTGTAAGTGCTTGCTGCATACTCGCGCAGACTTCAGCCAGCTAATGTCGTGTCAGTGGTCTGTCGAGAACTCTCTGGACAACATGGACCGCAACGGTGTGGACATTCACAACGACAATCCTGGCGAGGAACTCAACTACCACGGCAGCTACAGAGCGACGTCGAACCCGCAGAAGGGTGCGAACTATGGCTACCCCAACTGCTTCGCCGTCTGGGAGACCAGCACCGTGACGGGCGTACCCAACGTGAAAGTGGGAAGCCAGGTCATCCAGGGAAATGCCACTGGCAGCGTCACGGACCAGTACTGCCAGACTGTTCCCACTCCGCCGCGGCTCACTTTCCAGGCTCACATGGCGCCGCTGGATATTAAGTTCTCTCCCAGTGGATCATCCGCCTACATTTCCTTCCACGGCAGCTGGTGAGTGCTTCCGGATTGTGGACGTGATGCAGCAAACGTTAACAACGCTCATAGGAATCGCTCTCCCGGCGACGGCTACCGTCTCAGCAGAGTCGACTTCGGTGCCAACGGACAACCGCTTGCTGCGTCTACCAGCAAGACGGCCGAGGTCAGGGTTGCGTGGAACGTCAACAACGCTGTCTGCCCTGGAAGCTGCTTCCGGCCTGTTGGCCTTGCGTTTGACAAGAAGGGCAGGTTGTTCATGCTTAGCGATTCCACTGGCGAGCTTTTCGTCCTTACGGTGCCTGCTTAGAATTCAGGCAAGCTGTGCCACCATTAACGATGAAAACGGGGTTGCGGGGTTTCAAGGCCGGAATTTTGTGAGCTCTTTGCGACGAGATGGGCGGGGTTGGAAGGGCATTTCTTGCACATAGTTTATCTTAGCCAGCCTGGCAATGACGATATTTTGACAAAGCATTCAGATTGAGATTCTGATTGACAAGGGAAACGCTGCGTGTCAAATGAGTCAAACGAAACAGTTTCTCGCAAGTCGTAACGAGGTTCCCCAAGACACAGGCAAGCGGGGAAGTTGGCTGTTGAACTTAATAGTGGTTGCTGAGCAGCAACGCAGAGCTCGACCCCTGCCTCGGCCCGGGCTTTGAGTGGACCAAACGGGGGGTCTCCCACAGTCCAATGGGCGCGCTGAGCTATCCCGTTTTGCACCCAGTTGGGAAAGGCGCTTTCTGCAGCACCCACGCCAGAATCCGTGTTTCCCGCGATGATGTGCGACAGGCAGGCACGACAGGCACAAGTGGGAAGCCTTTAGTTCACTTGTCAGTGTAGGTAGGTACCTTAGGTGCTTAGGTGACAGGCAGGCGCAAACTACGGGTGGTGTCGCGCAGACGCAACTAATGGCGCAGCGCTCCAATCACACGTCGCACGCCCGCCCTTCAGTCTCACCCGTCCCGTCCCTCCGCGCCTTCCATCCACCCATCCATTCTCTTCCATGAATCCCATTCATCCCTTCCTCGTCTCCCACCTATTTCTCTCACCCAGCAGCAGCCTTGCTAAGGATTCCGCTTCCCGCATTCTTTCTAGATGGGACTGAACCATCGCATCAGACATTAAATTTGCCATTCCTCGTCCCATTATTCTCGTGGACTGATCCACGGAATCGAGTGACATTTGTCTTGTCACCATCTACTCGACGCCCCTCGGCCAAGCGCTCGGAATCTGTCTCGGGCTTTGCGACGCTGCAACGTCGGAGCCAAAGCCGTTCAACCCAACGACCGCCGACGCGCGCGCTCGCTGTTTGGCACGACCTTGGGCTGCTAGCCTGATTCCTGTCGTTTTCCCAACGTCTTTGCGTGCATTCCCATCGCCACTTGGCCGCATCATCCGACAAACATTTGCGACAACTCCCACGAGGCGTGCAGCCCTACGAACAAAAGACCGACCCGATCTACCGTCACTGCGTACCTGCAGGCGATTCCACCCTACGACTACGCGCGAATCTAACCGCCGCGACACGGACTATACGTCATCAAGAAATCACCTTCATCCCAAGCTTTTCCGACCCAAAGCGCGCGCGCGAAAGAGAGAACGATGCCCCTCCTTCCTCGCCAAACCACCACGAACGGCGTTGTCGTGGTCCCCGCCACGTACGGCGGCTGGTCGAGCCTCGGCGCCGGCGCGATCGTGGGCATCACCCTTGGCGCCGTCGCAGGGTTCCTGCTCGTGCTGTGGATGGTTTACACCTGTCTCAACTTTGGCCGACCCGTCGAGGCCTCGTCTTCGTCGGTGTACACGGGTACCGCGTCGGTCGTCTCTGTGCGGCGGCAGCGGTCCAAGAGCCGGCATCGGCATCGTAAACATCGGAGCCCGCGGGCGAGGGTGATTGCGACGGAGGAGGTGCGGGTTAGGGAGAGCGTGAGCCGGCCGCCGGCACCGGGCGGTCCGATTATTGTTGAGGCGGCGCCGCCGCCGCCGATGCAGGAGCGGAGACACAGTCGGGCTCCGCCGCCAAGGATCGTGACGGATGATGAGGAAGACGAGGTTGTGGTGATTGAGGAGCATTCGCCGTCGGATAGGAGGAGACGGCGTCATAGTAGCTCACGGCGGCACAGTCACCGGGGAGAGAGCCGGCGTGGAAGCCGGGACTACTGAGTTTTTGGCCTACCTACCTACCCAGCGCCCAAAATCGCGTTGTTCTTTTTTTTTTTTTCCTTTCTAGCGAATGGATTATTGTTGGGACCTTTTTGGTAATAGGTTCTATTGCGGTGCCGTGAGTGCGGCAGATTCACGTGAGCGATGAGCGATGTTGTACGAACCTTTTTTGTTGGGATGGAGGGATGATATACTAGGGTAGTTGTACGTTGAACATGGAGATGGCATATGGATACTGGAGACACCGATCGGAGTGGGAAGGGAAGGGAGGACAGGAAGTGTCAGATGGAAGATCAAAGTGTGGGGTGACTCCGGACAACAAGATGGGGCCGAAGGACGTGTTCGGTTTCGATGCGATAGCTCGTATTCCTTTCCCGTATGTTGGGAGGGATGAGCTTGATCATAATGTTTCCCGAATACGGCGGATTAAGGTGATCCCATGATCGGTTTATCACGCTAATGGGTGGGCATTGTGATGCTGGTGCTGCCTCGGTAGCCGGTGCGCGATGTGAGTAGGTTGCCATGTTCCGGGCGTCGTCACCTTTTGGCTTGCACACATTAGACCGGACATCTGAAGGCAATAGCGGGGGAAATGGTGCTTATTTTTGAGTAATGAGATGGAAAGGCGATTGATACCAAGGCGCGGATACATAATCTGGACTACTTGTTGTTCCCAATTCATCTGGTCTGATCGCTCCTATTCAGTGAAGCCATTGATGAGTTGCTCAGGCCAGAGCCGTCAGTTCACTGATCACTGAAATATCGCACCTAAGAGTTATTGCCGGTTGCTTGCAGCCGTAGCATCGTCGTTCTTGGGAACCTGCAGCCAGGGTAAGGTACTGCAAGGTGTAAGTACTGAAAATCGACGATGATCCGAGCAATAGCTAGTTGGATGTCAGGTACCTTGCTTGTAAGCTCTTCCCCGTCAAGTCGATCTACCGCAGTAAGTAAATAATGCACTGGTAAGTGCTGTCCACTGGATTGGCCAATGACGGAAGCAGGAGCCGCATTTCACATGCTTTCCCCGGACTTGTGTGCTGTGTGGGAGGAGGGTACGCCATGCTCCAAATAGTTTCAGAATGACATCACCCTGCGAGCTTCGGCTTCCCGGCCGTGGGTAAGAGCGCCACCACAGGTACGGATAGGTACCGTATCCAATTCTTCACGAGACAAATCAAACAATCAGGCACAAGCACGTTCCAGATCCGGCAATTGGTAGAAAAAGGCGTCGCCTACTTCCAATCCCTTTCGGATTCTGCCACTTTCGACCCCGGGCACTTTACCAAAGGTACCTCACCACCTTGTCTCTGAGAGCTCTACCCAAGGTAGTTGTTTGGCTTGTGAGACACCATAGCTCCCATCTCCATCCTTCCCGCGGCCGACAATATAGCTCCGAGTACCTAGCTCGGGCGCCCTCTCCTCCCTTTTAACGTTTGACCTTTCCCTTCCCCCTTTTTTTTTTCTTGTCTCTGCGCTTTTTCCTGTGACGTTTCTCTTTTCCTCACCCTAAACTCGAATGTCTGTGTTCCTCCCAAACAGAGGATAGCGACACTTTCTCCCTCCCACGCGAACATCTCGAACCTGACTTCACTTGTGGCTTCGGTGAATACAACAGATTGAATTGGTCCGGATAAAAGTTCAAAGGACAATCGACGGTTTTGTAAGCTCAACACGGCAATACAGCAAGACGTCTGTTCAACTCGACGTTGATACGAGCGCAAGATGGATCATCCAGGTACGCAAACGTCACCCACACGCACAAACATACTGAAGAAGACGGCGATACCTCGCTGCCAACACCTGCACGAACCCCGGCTGTAGATCACGACCCAAGACACCATCCCCCGCGGCCGCGACCCGACGGCTAGGGATGGCCGAAGCTTGAGCCGTTGAGCCCCGCCGCCGTGTTTCTTCTTTGGCCTCCCATACATAGCCAGACAAATCGAAAATGTCCCTCTTACTGACAAATATCCGGCTATAGTCAAGGAGATCAAGACCGTCATCCGGGACCTAGTCCAGGGGTCCCCCGAAAAGCAGCAGAATGCCCTCTACTCCAACTTTACCGAGGACGCCTCCTTCACTCACCCATTTTGCCATGTGCCATCCTTTGGCAACATCCAGATCCCGTTCCTCTTCACCATTAACTCGCGTTGGTTGGTCCTCATGATTTACCGCTGGTATCGCATCTTGAGCCCCAATATCGAAATGGAAATTGAGTCTTGTGGTACGTTCTCTGTCGTTTGCCTAAGCCAGCTATCTTTATTACACGGGAGAGCTGTACCAGAGAACCTCAGCCCACTGAACCCAGAGATGCTAACCCCTTTACAGTCCAAGACCAAAAGACGAACCTGCTCTACGTCAAAATGCGCCAGGATTTCCGCCTGTGGTTCGTCCCCTTCTACTCGGCCCCCGTCGACTTCGTCGTCGTCCTCCGTTTAGAGACCCGCACAATCGACGCCAACGGCAACCCGCTCCCCCGCGGCTACGGCGACTCCGCCTCCGTCGGCACCCGCCAGCGCCAGTTTATCATCAGCCAGGAGGATCATTACCAGGTCGGCGAGTGGCTCAAGTTCATCGCCCCCTTTTTCGGTTACTGGGCCTGGCACGCCTGGACCCTCTTGGCAACGGCGCTGTGTGTTGTCGGCGCCTTCTTTGGATATCCCCTTACCTTGCTCTTCGGACAGATGGCTGGACCCAATAGCAACGGTAACGGGCAGGAGAGTAAGCGGGAGTAGGATGACGCGGTTGACGATCTGTTCATCTTTTTTGGGGAGCTTGAGGATAACCTAGCACGAGTGGCTGATGAGGCGTCAGAAGAGTCTTAGTATTGGCTATGCGAGGGTTGAGCCATCTTCGAAGTATGGATAATCAACTGGCATGGTGTTGGGTTTGTAATATCAGTAAAGACTTGCCGGTACGGGATCGTGTACGTTTTACAACTCATGTAGAGTATTGGACTTTTGAGCTATGCGGCTATACGTTCGACTTGATTGTACTTATTGTACACATCAGCCCATGTAAAAGTGTCAGCGTTCATCGTTGGCCAGTCCAGTCAACATCAATAGCTGAACGGAAGTGAAGTAGCTTCCCCAGGAAGGCTCCTATTCCATCCCATCTCATCCCATCCGACCATAGCACGCCCCACCAGCACCTGCACTCCTCTCCTTCCCACCTCGTCGTCCCCTCCTACCGCCTTCCTCCCTTCCTCGACCTACCAAAGGTACCTACTCACAGGGTCCAATCATATCCATCTCGTCACCAGCACAGCAGCGCCCGCCTGGGTCGGCGAGGTCAGGTCAAGCTGTGTGCGAGGTGGTCGAGTGAGTTGAAAGATAAATAAATACTCTAATGAAGTCAGAGTCCGGGTTGACTGAGAGGCGGGCTGTTCGATTCTGAGCAGCGGGGGGGGGGGGGTTGAGTTCTAGTTGAGTGATCCCTTACCCTTCCTTTCCTTTCCTTTTTGGGGTTGTCCAAGAAGTGATTCATGTATTTCTGGCAGTGAGAGGTGTCTGAGTCGACTTTGGTCATACGTTTTGCTCGATGCTGGTGTATAAAGAACACCACCACACGATCAACCTGAAGATATATATGAGAGAGAGAGAGAGTGTGTGTGAGAGAGAGAGAGGGAAAAGGCGAATTCAATGTCCATTTCCTCATTCGGTCCAATGAGGAGATAAATAAGTAAAAGAACCGACCAATCTCACCGGCTCTCCTCCCCCTACGCTAACTACTTCACATCTAAACCTCCCTTTTCCCTTCCACTCAACTCGCTTTTCTGGGTATACCAAATCAGACTGCAAGCAACAGATTTTCCTTGCGCCCACGGAACCAGCCTCCCTCCCCTTCTCCGTCTCAACACGAAATCACTCTCGCCGTTCATTTTTGAGTATGTCCATCCACGTAATATACATCTGACCGCACCGAGTTTCCCTTTTTGTGCTGTGATTTGAAAAAGATCTGATTCCCCTCCTTTTGCCAATCCGGTTCGTAAATGGCAAAAAAAAATAAAAAAAGGTCTTGCCTGCCATCCCTGCTTTTTCTGATCCGTTTTTCGGGCTGTGTCCGTATCTTTCGTACGGACGTGGTTCGTCACATAATATAGTATACTGTAAGTCATGAAGCCCGGCTGGCGTTTTCTTCTCCCACACAGAGAGGACGCGGCGTGTCCGGCACGGAGGCGTCAACTGAGATTCCTCCCAGAGGCCGCCGGCGTCGTAACCTATACACACACACGCCAGCCATTCCATTTTTTGGCGTTTCCCAGCCGTTTTTGTTTTGTGTTGGTATCATCATAAGGACTAGTAGTGCATTTCTAGCACGGAGGCGTCATCGTGGAGTAATCTCTTTCCAAGAAGCCGCCGGCGTCGTGCCATTTTCTCTTTTCTCTTTCTTTCGTTTTTGACCTGTCTCATCATCTTCACATCCCGTTTCGCCCGTTGGTGTTGCCGTTCGGACCCTGCTGCTGATCTGGGGACTGTTGCTGCTGTTGCTGTTGTTGCGCCTGTGACTGCTGCTGTCCTCCAAAGAAGAAGCCGTCGAAAATGTTCATCTGCTGTCCTTCGCTGAAGTCGTGGTGCATGTTATCCCAGTTGATGCCGAATCCCAGGTCAAGCTGCGGCGTCGTCACATCCCCAGACCCACCGAGCTCGCCGTTGGGGTTACCACCCTGCAAACTCTGGAAGAAATCCATGGTCTGGATGTCTGGGTAGTCGGCCACGCCATACGTCGACGGCCCTTGCTGCTGCTGCTGATTCAAAAAGGATCCGCCGCTGCTGGTTCGTTGAGTCGCCACACGACGAGGCACTGGCGGCGAGGCCACGAAAGAAGGATCAATCTCAGAAGGGCTGCCCTGGCTGGGGGCCATCACATTGAAGTCCGTTGCACGCGGAGAATGGCGTGGTGGAAGATCGCCGGCGACAGAGAGGCTTGGCGACGAGAGGGTATCGGACAGCGCCATGTCCATCTGAAAGTTACCCTGCCCCGATGACTGATGCTGCTGGTGGCGGCGACGGGGTGCGACGCTCGCAGTCGATGTCGATGCCCCGTCGCCCGAGGCGGAACTCCACTCGAATTGTCTCTCGCGCATCTTGCGTGGGGGCACCGAGTTA